AACAGACGAAACTGCAAAAAACAATGGATTATTATTCCTCATTTCTAGCTTATACCCAATCTTTTGCCATCTCCCTGTCTTACGGTCCGAGACCACTGAACCAAAATTATTCCCGAGTTTGCCTGGCTGTTACAAACCAAAGTTGGTCCAATTTTAATTTTGGTTTGAGTCAATTTTTTCTTGGTCCCTTGCAAAACGGTGTAGGTTATTTCCGGTCATCACCACCAATAGTAATATATAATTGTTTTCCCAAAAATCTTCTAGTGATCTCGCACGTGTAAAATTTGAATACGGATGTATCATTTACTTTGTTGAAAGTAAGAAAGGGGGATTTTTTCAAGTAAGAAAGGTGGATTTTTTTAACGACTCTCTCATTTCTCATGGTTGATTTTCTTATTGGTGGTGGGAAGAGCGTTGGATTAAAATTAAAATCAACGTTTACATATGATTTGCAAGAGGGAGGGATGTCTTCTTGAAAAATGAGTTACGAAATGTCTTGGATAACTCTAAATATTAAACACTACCGTGATTAATTAAAGTTATCAAGTTCTAATTAAACTAAATAGCATGTAATTTAAAATAAATTTACTAGAACAAAATGTACCCAAATTAAATTAAACATGTTCATTGTTAAATTAAAATATTATCTATTGACAGATCTGAAAATTAAACTGTTGCAGAATTAGAGATTTTACCCTAATTAAAATTAAAACAAATATGAACAGGAATTAAACTAACATGTTTGAAGTTGAGAGGAAACATGAACTGATAAGTAATTATTGAAGAAATGCTACTTATCATAAACATTAAATTAATTATAGATAGAAAAGAAACAATACCTTGAATAACTTTGAAAGATTAAAGTTCATTGCATGAAACGAAATTGTTGAAGTGAACACATGAATTAATTTGTCTATTGGAATGATGAAAAAACCACCTAAATCTACTGAAAATTATGCTGAAATTCAAAATCTAGAAGCAATTGCAGAGAAAATGAAAATTTGAAAATTTGTAGGTGCTTGAATACGGTTGACCGTGTGTTCTTCCTTCCAAAATTTCCTTTTTATTCTCCTTTTGTCGGCTGTAACTCTCCACCTTTTGTAGTTTCCAAAATTATGAACAGTTTTTTGTTGTAGTGAGACACTTCAGTAGTTGACATGGCAAATTACTTTCTAGATTTCGCCACCTATTCCTTTATCTGATAAACCACACCCATGACTGACACCTCTTCTTAAATTCTAACTAAAATAACCATAATTTATTCTAAAAAGTTAATTAACAGATAAAAACTTATCTTTTTACCTCTTTTCTTCCACAGTGACAGCTGGTCTGTCATGAGCCCAAAACTTCATATCAAACATAGAAAAATCTCCTCCCTTTATTAAAATTTTTTTACACGTGATATGATTTTAAATTTTTGTAATTTATGATATAAACAATAATACTACTAAGACTTCGGTTTACAATATTTTTTAATGTTTTATTTTTTT